AACAGTCCAAAAGCTAGTATTTATTCAATGAGTTTTCATACTGAAATTAGCTAGGCAAAAAGTTCCAAGTTTCTCTACAGAGTATTATCTGGATGGAATATATTTTGCTTAACATGAAACCAGCATATAGCTAGTGAACAAATATTTAGGTAATTATGAACATATATCAAGATTATTGAAAATAAAATAAAGTTTACTTTTTGAAATGTGTCAGTAAGAATATAGTTTGGTACTTGTGCAAAATGACACAATAAGTTTTCTTAAGAATCTTGCAGTACAATCTCATCCCTTCATAAGGTAAATACTGAGCAAAAAGGATTGTAGAATGAAAAAGTCCAAATAAACAGATTAGCATTTTTTGCACATAGACTGACTAAAATTTGGGACAAGCACATCAGGGATGTAGTATCCTTTAATAATTTCCATAGAACTCTACAGTTTGTAGTTGTTATTAAATGTTAACAAACCCATTCTATCATAAGCTTCTAGAGCCTCTATCTACTTTTGTCAAGGAGGTTCATATCATAAAAACTTATGTCAAAATGAATGGGCTATGTTTTAATGCTCATGGATGTTTTGGTGTGTTTGTTGCAATAATTCACTGAATAATTTCCTGTTCTTCATCTTATGTCCTCTAATAACATAGGTTCTCCTAAAATCTCCTTGCGTGATATTTCAGAAAACACTATAATGCATTTACATTCAGATTGTACCTTAAAACATTTATTTCTCCAAGTCCTGTTTGAATTTGTATCAAAGGATATCCTATAAACCAAACTTGTAAGTCAAAGGGGTATAGAATCACAACAATGTACAGCATTGGTTTGGAGAAGGGCATTCCCTCTTTTCTCTGCTGCTTTTTCTCTAGTGGACATATTCACTACAGAAAGCAACAGTCTACATTATAGCTGCATAGGTTAATCATAGCTATTTTGTTATGGGACCTGTGTTAGTCTGGCAAAAAAATCAGAATTCTGATAGATTTCAGACCAACAAATGGTCATGGCCTGCTCTCATTCAGATGAGTTTGAGACAGGGAATCTGCTCCAGGAGAGCTGGTTGGATCTCAGCCTAAGGAACCTTTAAGCACTTGAGGTTGATCCAGCTGGTGGATCCACCTGGAACAGTTGCCTTTACTCTCAAAGGATAAGGAATTGGAACTGGAAAGATTGCCCAGCTCCAGAGCCTGCCATCTGCAACAGAGAGCAGAGCAATGATGTTCGGCATGTCTTGAACCCTAAGAATGTTTCCAGCTTTGACTGGATTCACCAGCATGGACACTATTTAGGAGCAACTTCTAACCTACTCTGTTCGTTGAGAACAACTGCTCTGCTTACCAGAACCTCTGCTGTTGCCTAAACTCTTGCCCATAAAAACTCTGTTCTTTTGCATTCAGACCAACTGAGCCCTTTCTGGGTGGTTAAACGATAAATAAATAAATAAAAATGCTACGTGCCTAAAGCTTCCATTTCATTACAACATGGAATCTCTCTGGTTCAGCAAGCCTTTGTCTTTTTTATGTCCAAAGTACCTACAATATCACAAAATGTGCTATATGTACATGTACATTTTGGCCTTGGTATTTACAGGTTCCCTGCTCTATTTTTGGAGAAGAATGTTTAGATCTAGAGTTATCAAAACATGCTATAATTAAGAATGTGTTCACTTGCAATGAGAAATCAGAGGAATGTATTTTTAAATTTAAAGGAATGCAAATGAATCACACCATAAATTTATTGATTTTGTAGCGCCACAAAGGGCTATTTTTTTTAAATCCAGGCTATTACTTTGTGATTTAAAACATTCAAAACATGCAATCATTCTTTGGGGACATACATTTGCCTAATGGTTAATTAAAAAACAAGCTTTTGCATATGGAACATAAGGCTAGAGTCATATTGCACAAGACATAAACTCAGAATTTTTGGCTTGGATAACTAAAATGAAACTCACAACTTCTTGATTGGTTCTCATAATGCTGCTAATTAGCACTGGTGTTATTTAATGCCTGGCATTTCAAATAGAAATAAAGTATAGCAGAAATTTCTCAAATCCTTAACTCCACTCTGATATACTTACAGGAATTAGCAAAAGAAAATGGAAAAATAATCTACTTCAATGGGAAATCCAGAGGCAAATAGAGGTTTTTATATTCCACTCACTGAGGTCTATAATAGATTACTGCCATTTTCACTCAGCTTCCAAATTCTGGGACATCGGATTCTTCCCAATAATTTATAATTATCTCTAGATATTAGAAAAGTTAAGTCAATTTTGTGGCAAATAATTGGCTTCCTTGACCTTGTGTGTTATTTGTAGGAATGCATATTAATAGTGTATACAGTTTTAATTTATTGTAAAATAAAGATATTAGTACAATAGTTCAAGGTAAGATTATAATTAATTCATTAGCTTGCTTTTGAGCAAATAACATGGATAACACATTCAACTTTCCGTTTCTTCGATAAGTAAACTAAGATTAATCTAAAAACCATTCCATACATGCGTTCATTGACTTTGAAAAGAGTCAAATAAATGAAAGGCATTAAAGAAGCTGCTATTCAAGCTACTGTCATTCTGCTGAAAAACGTTATGTGTGAGTGGAACAGAATTCTGGAACAAGTGAAATTCTAATGAATAGGGGCTATTGACAGAAAGGAAGAAGTAGAACTTAGTACATTCCTTAGGTAATAGAGATACGTTGCCCAGTAACAAGGGAATAGTCAGGGACTTTTTTTTAAAAAGCACTGTGTGAATGAAACTAGGCCTCTGTTCATTTGTGAAATGTCAATCAACCATATCACTAACTTGCTCTTAGTAAATTAAAATAACAGTAAGACAAAACCATTATTAGAATTATAGAACCAATAAAACCACTTGAATTCTATAGAATTCTTCATTTATTTTACCTCTATATTAAATGCAAAGTAACTGTTTAGGCCAAATGTTGGCATAACTGCTACCCAACAGAGGAATCGTAACCTAAAGACTCTGATTGTTAGGATGTAGCAATACAGGCAGATAGATCTATTATGAAACTATTCCAACAAAACTCCAACATCACTTTGCTAATGGAATTGATAAAAATAGGGAGGGGACATGATGGGGTTACACATAGTGTAAATGCATGCCATCTAGAACTTCCTTACCCATGATACATCTAAATGCATGCCATCTAGAACTTCCTTACCCATGATACATCTATGATGAAAATCACCATGTGAAGATAGTATATTTGCTACCTTATTGAGATCAAAGGGGGAAGAATTCTTTCTACACCTCACACAAAATGTGCTAGTTGTTCATCTCCGTTTCAAAGCCAAAGAGCCAGTGCTGTCCGAAGAAGTCTCCGTAGTCAAGTGGCCGGCATGACTAAATGCCGAAGGTGCACGGAGCGCTGTTACCTTCCCACCAAAGGTGGTCCCTATTTTTCTACTTGCATTTTTACATGCTTTCGAACTGCTAGGTTGGCAGAAGCTGTGACAAGTAATGGGAGCTCACTCTGTTATGCGGCACTAGGGATTCAAACTGCTGAACTGCCAACCTTCTGAGAGCCACCACCTCCTATAAAGAAGATTCTCTGAAAATTACTTCTTTGATGAAAGAAGGCTGAAAGGGATAGAATGAGCAAAGTAAATAATTGATGAGCTCTATTAAAGTTTCAACTTTACAGATCAGGAGCATCACAATGTATATTTTTCTACCAGGTTTTTAAACTTATATTTTAATTATATGTATTTTAATAGATCTTAAGTTGTATTTAATATTTTACATTGTTTTATTTTTGTAAGTTACACTGTATCTTGAGCATTCATATAAGCAGAAAAACAATATAAATTGTTAACATTCCCGTTTTGTCACTGTATGAATACAGTAGGGGCACCTTATGATCCTTCAGGGATGAAAACAATTGCACCTACAAATAAAATGTTCATTTAAAGAGACTTTATTGAAGCTAAAATTCATTGAAGCTGGAATTTCTAATTTAATTGGGACAAGCTTTTTTTGCTATAGTATCCCATATTACCAAATGTGTTGAGCAATAATAGCTGGAAACACAAAATCAAAACTAACTGTCCTCCCACCCCACCATTAATGTACTGGAATGAATGGAATATGAGAGGGGGTAGACTTCTTAGCAAATTTTAAAAGTTTCTACTGACATCTTGTTATCCTACCTTTTTCTGTCCTTTCCTAATAGTGCTCCAAGTAAATTGGGATGTCTAAGATCCAGAACTGCATTATATACACTTTTATTTTTTATCGTGCAGAAAACGATTTTGGATTTGATTCACCTGTAAAAATGTGATCTGCCTCAGCATCAAGCAACATTGCTTTCTTGTACAATTTTAATAGTTTTCTGAAAAGCAATGCCAACTATAGCCAATGAAACTTTCACAAAACAGGTGCACATAGACACATCTCTGTCTTTTTTGTCCTCATGCCTTCTCCTAGCTGGCATAGCCCTGACATCCAAATACTATCCAGCTTTTTTTTTTAACTATAAGGTGCCTCTTCCTGAGCAAGTGTTAGCCGTAAATTAACAAGCTCGGCTTTGTGACTTTGCTTTATTAGCACCATGGCTGGCTTGCCCTGTACACAGGATTAACCTTGCTTGTGCTCGGTGGGGTTTTATATACAGAATGCTCAAAATTTAAGACAACCGTTTTAGAAACGACCCATTGGAGGACGTAAGGCTTTATTCCCGAGTATAGGATAGCACGGTAAGTCGAGGCAACAGCTTTTGATCCGTTTTCTCACTCCCCTTTAACCTTCCTCCTTTTCGACAGCGTCTCCCAGACACCCGCAAATCCGGCATCTGTCCCTGCTGCTGCTGCCAATTAAGGGCGGGAAATTCGGCTGCTCTCTATTGGGCCAGGTCGTCACGCCACGCCAGGCGAGGAAGAGGGCTTCTCCCAGAGACCATGTGCCCCGGGAGTGGGTTGGTTTTTCCACCCATCTTCCCCGCCCTTTCTCCGCCCTCCCTGATCCTAAGACCTCCTTGGCGGCGAAGCGAGCGACGGTGGCTATAGCAACCCCGCCGCCGGTTAGGCTCGTCTCTTGGTTGGCTTTGCCTGCGCAGAGAGGGAGGAGGGACAGGAAACCGCCGAGAGGCGCCGGGTCTCCCGGGGCCGGCCTTACGGGCGAGGAAGCCGGGAACATGGTAGTCAGGATGGACGAAAGCGGCGAGCGCAGGAGGTGGCAGAGCAGCCCAGGTAGCGCGCAGGGACCGAGCGGGATTGGGAATCTGCTCCCGAAGCGCCGGGGAGGAGGGCGCCCGAGGGTTCACTGTTAGGTCCCGATTGGCACCGCTGCCGGGCGCTTTCATGCTTAATGCTGCCAGCTTGCTGCAGTCGGAGGGAGGGCTACCCCGCTCGTCCGGAGCTCTTGGTCGGTGGCGACCAAGATCCAGATTCCGGCATCCCGTGGAAGCAAGCGCTTCTCTGGGAGCGAGCTTTAGCCGGCTGCGAAAGTTCTGTCACCCAGCATGCACTGCTTCTCCGGCTCCGCAGCCGTTCCAGAATTGGCCGTTCCAGATTCCTGGGAAGGCGAGAGGCGGCGGGAGAGGGGAAGCGGGGTTGCTAACGCTTTCCCGAACGTGTTTGGCCTGCTCCAGATAACCCCAGCAGGGAAAGGACGAGGAGCGTAGAGATTTTTCGGCCTGATCATCTCCACAGCAGCAGCAATTTGACTTAGACTTAGAAATAACTTTATTGTCACTTTTAATGTCCACTAATCGGCATACATGAAAATGAATTTCGTGGCATACAGCTCTCAAAGGGTCACCAATAGAATAGAATTTAGAATTATTATAATAGAATAATAGAATATAATAATAGCTTTATTGTCACTTTGAATATACACTAACCACCATATATTAAAATGATTTTTGGGGGACATACAGCTCTCATAGGGCCTCTACCTCCAATATACACTACATAAACATGACAAATAAATAAATAAGCATATACCCACATATATGGCACAGAGAAGCAACAGTCTAGTTTGGATGTGTACATGTACATGATGAGAAAAATGAATCTTGTGTGTTTACTAGACAAATGTGAGAGAGGGAGAGAGAACTACCAAAAGGGTTCTTGCACTCAATGGGCTCTTAATTCCAAGGACACGTGTTAAGGGCAAGATGAGTTGGGGCCTGTTATAATTTGGCCAGGGAGAGGGTAGAGAATGGTGCAGAGATCAGAGATAACCACAGAAAAAACACACTTCTTAGACATCACAAAATGACAAGATTTAAAAGAAGGAATCTAGAACATGTAGGCTGGACAGATATTCTTGAGAGAAGGTGGCCCCTCAAGTAGCCTGGCCCTATGCCATATAGGACTTTAAAAGATTACATTGAATCACATAAAAAAGTTTTATTGAAAGCTAGTGCAGCTTGTGTAGTAACGGTGCAACATGAGCATAACAAGATGCATCCATATCTACCTGTGCTGCTACATTCTGGACCAATTGCAGCTTCCTGGTTATTTTCAGAGGCAGCTTTATGTAGCACACGTTGCATTAGTCCAGTCCGGAAGAAAATAAGACATGAGTGAAGTAATAAAAGAATGATGGTGGTCCATAATTTTTATATTTCTGAATTTTATACTATTGCAGTAAAACCTTGATTTAATGATCATTCAAGAGTGATTTCCATGAAATCTGAGTGTGGTGTTCAGTCTAAATGTATTTCATTCACATAACTTTGTGTCATTGGTATAATTATGCAGTTGATGTAAAAGAGATTTTGCAGTAACATTTTAATTCAGTAGATACATTTTAATGGTCAGCTCCTGACATTAATCCATGGAGTGGGAGAAGTTCATTGATGCAATTTATAATAAAAAATGTCCATTGTGTCTGAAGTCGGTTGAACTGAACCAAGAACATACTATCCTATCCATGCATTTAGTCTTGTTCATCTTTAGGTAGAAATAATTTCTTGATACCAGAATATCTGTAAAACATATCCTGAAAAATAAATGACTACTGCCTAATGGAAGTTTTAATTTCCTAAAGACATAAAGTCTTTGTAGAATGAAAGAATCTTTCTCTACTATCTCAGCTTTCTCATGAAAAATAGGATGTACATATAAATAAAAGGTGGAAGATCTCATGTAATGGTCTGTCTTTCCTATTAAGCATGTATAAGACAGATTGAGAAAATACTACTTTAAAATATTAATGAGAAAGCCATTCTTTCTGAGAAAAGTTTTTATTAGTGATGTTATCCAGGTGCAAATTTATAGCAGTCGAACTTTCTGCCCAGAGGAAAAAAGTCACAGATAGTCCTTGCTTAGCAACCACAATTGGGATCTATTGCTAAAGCACAGAAAATCACGTGACTGAGATGGAGTTACAACATCACTTTCCATTCTGTAGTTAAGTGAATCATTGAATCATCCCTTAACATGGCCTTGATTTGTAATTTTACTTCTATCTTTTCTATTAATTCTGTTTCTGGAAGCCAGTTGTGAATCCCACATATGGCATGACCACAAGACTTTGCAACAGTCATAAATGTGTGCCAGTTGCCATCAAATGGCTGCAAGGTGTTGCAATGATCATAAACAGGAAGTTTGTCACAACTTTGAATGGTCATTAAATGAGGCAGTTGGTAAGGTCTACTTACAGTCTTCGTAGCTTTTTGCATCGCTCTATTAGCAAAGTAAGCTAATGAGTGACATCTAAAGTAAAACTCAAATAGAATTACTAAGAAACAGGAATTTCAACTGTACAAACATCCCAATATTATTACATTTAAACGAAGAGAACTCTTACCAAGCAGTTCAGCCAGGAGTATATGAGAAGTAAAAAAAGATACAGTGCTGTTCTTTTATTGCAAGTCCCAGTTTGTCCTTCTTCCTAATAAAATTTTCAAGAGCTGAATAGATTCATTTTTATATAGCTTTTGTTCTGCTCTTTTGAGTCAGTATATTCTAGTTATCACATGGGGCTGGTTTATCTATAATATTGACAAACTAACATTATTCTGGTCTTAGGCCAGAACCACTCTCAAATTAATGTTTCTTTAATTGCTGAGTTATTGCATTTTCTGTGAATAAGATTTGTTGCTGAAAAAACTTTTGCAAAGACTCTATTGGTTGTTTCTATGTTTTCCACCACAATAAAAGTTCTTAAAAGTTATAGTAAATATAGTAGGCAGTCTATAAAAAAAATATGCCATTTGCAAGCTAAACTTAAGTAACATTTGCTACTTAAGCCTATGAAAGCACAGCATTCTCCATTAATTAATCTACTTTGATAGCAAAATATTAAGGTTTTAAAAAATCCTACAGCCCCAGATTTTTAATAGGCAATTACAACAATCTACACTTGTTTTTTTCTTGTTTTTTTTCCAGTAATTGACTATCTGACCATTCCTAGGTATGGGCTAGCAAGCCCATTCAAAGGACATTTAAGTACCAAAAGTAATGGTAAGTAATTTATGTGATGTGAATTTATTTGGAAACCACACTAGACGTAGACTACTACAAGTCTTTTATTCAAGCATTAGTTTGACAGAATATAATAATATAATCAGTTCTGCTTTAACCAAGAAACTAAATCTAAACCTAAAGGTAAATTCCCTCACCACTTGGCCCATCAAGTGCTTTCTGTCTTCACTGGCATGAAATTGTCAGAACCTTCAAGCTGAAGTCCTTAAGCCTCTTTACCTCAGAGTGATCACATTGACTTCATAATGGGTCTATTCTTGTAGTAGCTGTTTTGAGGGTCTCATGCTAGTTTCATATGCCTGGATACATGCTGCTCCACTGACTATTAAGACATAAACTTTTCCTGGCAGAAGCATTGCTGAAATGGCTCTGTGATTAGCGCTCATCTTGTTCATGGCTCAGTAACAGAAGAATTCTCAGTCCTGTGTGAGGGTTGATTTTAGTCTGCTTATTTATTTAATATATGATTATTTAGTTGTTGGAATTGCTATCTTAACACAGAGTAGGAACTCTGATGGTATTAAGAAACCAAGAAAACAAGACCATTGAATATGCCTGCTGATAGCCGTGCCCTGACCTCTTGGGATCTATGATCCCAGCAAATACAGCTGAAGCTCACTCATATCTAAAGCATTAAAGGATCTGGAAGAAGTGGCATCCTGTTTAATCTAAATTAATTAATAGCAAGAAATAGATGTGCCTAATGAAAAATCATTATGATTAGAGCATAAAACTATCTAATTTTTTTTAAGTTAAATTGAAAAAAATAGGACTAGTAACTTAAACTTTTTAAAATGTAGTGCTTTCACAGAGGGTTTTCTAGATTCATTCAGCTTGAAAACCTACACGTGTAAACAATACTATAGCATCAAGTATTCCTGGCCATTTCTCAGGTCATTTTAAATAAGACAAAATATTCATGTTATAAAATAAGCACCTTTTATGTAGAACAAACACCTCAGAGAATGCTATATAAATCTTGGGAAAGATTCTCTGCCAAGGATTTCATTAATCTACTTATTCTCTTATATGTGAGTCTCATATGCAAACTGCCACCGTCTGGATCTGGGTGAGGTTTTTCCTCTGGTTCAATCTAAACCTTGTTTGATGGTTCCACATACCGTATTTTTCGGAGTATAAGACACACATTTTTTCCTAAAAAAAGAGGCTGAAAATCTGGGTGCGTTTTATACATCGAATACAGCATTTTTTCCTTCCAAAGCCCCGCCTCCTTCACCAAAATGACTGTGCATAGCCTTATGGAGGCTTTCAGAGAGCTCCTGGGGGCTGGGGAGGGCAGAAATGAGCATCCCCCCTCCCCCGAAACACTCTATAAGCCTCCATAAGGCTATGCATGCAATTTCTTTGACAAACAACAGGCCTGTTTTCACGAAAAATGAGCCATTTTTGCTCATTTTTGGCCCCACCATCCCCCAGGAGCACTCTGCAAGCCCCCTTCCAAGGCTATTCATGCCTTTTTTTAAAAAAAAACCTGGCCTGTTTTCATGAAAAATGGACTGTTTTGGAGAGGTTTGCAGAGTGCAAAAACTCTCCCCCCCCCCTTTTAACTGATTGAAGAGAATTACATTGATCAAGTGCAGTGCCAGCCAAAACAATGTCTTGGGTGCTGCAGCGATTTCCTTCTCCAGCGTATGGATAAATACACCTGGAAACATCTACCTACTCCCTATTCTCTCCCTACCTACCTACTGTATTTCTCTCTCTCTATCCCTCTCCCTACCTACCTACTGTATTTCTTTCTCTCTCTCTCTATTTCTCTCTATATATATCCCTTTGTCTACCTACCTACCTAACTACTCTCTCCCTCTCCCTAACTACCTACTGTATTTCTCTCTCTTTGTCTCCCTCTCTATCTATCTATCTACCTACCTACTTTAAAAAAAAATCCTCTTCAAAACCTTGGTGCGTCTTATACTCCGGTGTGTCTTATATTCCGAAAAGTATGGTAACTCTTTACTTAATAACATTTTAGACCAAATGAAGGTATCTAGAATAAGTTAGTTTAGTTTAAGTGTGTCTTGTTTCCTTTAGTACACCTTAATCTCAGTTCTATGTTTTAAGTACTTTAAATATTTTAACTACCATTGCCTTGGACAATTTCAATTTGTGGCAGAAAGGTTTGACTATATTTTTAATTATTTAAATAATTACGTAGGTTCTATGGCTAGATCACCACTGCTTTCTCATGAATGGGCTTTGGACATGATCATCATTCTCCCTTTTTCATACAGTTTATTCAGTCCAAGAAAAACAGTATACAAAAATATCCAGGTGTACCGTGCTGTTTATTTCATTTTAATGCCACCTTTATTCACATTTTCAATTTTTTCCTTGTAACTGCAATTGTGGATCAAAATTATTGGCATTTTATCCTAATGCTCAAATATGTTTTATTTCGGTAGCTTTCTGCATTGACTCCTCCTCCCGCAGACTCAGTAATCAGTACCTCATCAGGGATCACATGGCTGTTCATTACAATAAAATACTTTCAGCCAAAGGTAAAAATACTCATACTTGAATTATTTTCAAACATTTGTTATAATAATCATAAGGTATAGTAGTAAGAATTTCAGACTAGCTGCCTGGAGATCTGATTCAAATGTCCACTTGGTCCTAAAGGTCACAGATGGGCTTGAGACATACAACAGTATATATTACTTCAAACTTTATAAAGGCAACAAAAGGATAAAATATTATAAATATTCTGTTATTAGAAAATAAGATTTTGCAACAGATATACTCTTAGGAAAATTTGATTAGAGATGCAGATCATGTGTGCCATTGCAATATGTTGGTTTTTTTAAACTAAAATCAGATAGGTCATTTTGTTGCCCTGTGTTTTCTCCTGAATCGTTGAAAGGTTGGTGGCATACAAGTTTAATTTATTATTGTGATTATGATTATAATTTCCACATCTTTTTGTGGTGTGCTTCCAAAGGTACTTTTCCTTTTATCTATATATATATATTTTAAAAATAACAAGCATTGGGATTAGTGGGATATCATTTAGAAGTTGGAAAAAATGCCAATTTCTTTATTTATCAGCACTCTAATGATTGCATTTCTAATTTAATCAGAAATATTTATGAATCTTGAGTACATACTATTTTCTCACTAAAAATGCAATAGACATAAAAGCTAAATACAGGAAGTATACCAGCCAATATTAATGAAAGTTTGAGGGTTTCAGATAATAATTATATAAAATAATTATTTCATAATATGTCACTTCCTGGGTCATTGATCAGATATTTATTCTCCAAACTGGTGGTACATCCTTATTAATATTTAGCAGAGAGGTCTTTTCATCTCTTTTAATAAAGAGATTGAAGAATAAGACAAAAGTAATATTCCTGTAGAGGTCTATTCAGAACTACATTTTCTTGAGTTCAGTGAGGCTTCTCCCCCTGGTTAGTAGATATGCACTCTGATTTCCTAAGAGTTAACTGAATAAATTGGTGGCTGTCACAAGAGGGGTGCATCAAGGTACTAGACCCTAAGAATATATAAAATGTTTCATATATAAAATTATTTTGTATGGTCCATGGCTACACTCAAATATGTATGTTTCAGGTGTTTGGGACTGTGCTAAGAACAAAATGGCACAGAAGAATAAAAGAACCTCTAATAAGTACATTTTATTGTAGAAAACCTAAGAAGCTATGTATCAGATTTTCTTTATAACAAACCAGTGTCCTGCATCTGTTTCCCTTGCGTATTCTATGTAAAGAACTAGAAGTATTTCTCTTTTAGGCAAGACATAAGAATTTTCATCTTTTCCTTGTTTGGATAGTACTCAGATCTGATATCATATTTTTTACTTTTGTCCGAATAAGAGTAAACGTTCTCCTGGGGAATATTGGGAGTAGGGGTGGCTTAGTAGGTTATGTCCCTCTTTGGCATCAGCAATGACTTACTGAGACAAGAGAAAGAACCAGGCTGTTAGGCCAAGTTGACAACTGCTGAGGAGAAGGTGAGAGATTACACAGAGCAGCTTTATCCTACTTGTTTTAATATAGTATATTTTGTAAGCCACTCAGAGTCTTCTGGAGTGAACTGCTATATTAAAATATCATTATCATCTCATATGTCTTCTGTTTTATTTGAATTGGAACAACCCAAACATTCTGGATTATATGTCGATTGAACCACGAATGGCCCAACATGATTCCGTAGACGTTTTGCAATGTAATGGATTGTTTTGGGTTCAAAACAAAATACTGTATTTTCTATTTTATGATCATCCCTTGACCCACTAGTCTTCTTAAAGTAGCTTTTTAAGACAAGTATTTGCTAATGAGGTTGTTTTATGCCTGGAAAAGCAGTAAATTACAAATATGTAAACGGGATCCCATTTTTTCTGTGCAAAAGGACATTTATTTTTCTAATGAAGTATCCAAGATACTTTGAGGTAATTTATGTTTACAAGGTAATACTCCACATTGAATTGGATATGTAAGATGGGAAAATGAGCTACATTGAAGAAGAAAAGGCAAATACGTAATTTGATCAGAATAGTTTTCTGTGTTCTACAGAGACATGGAATATCATTATAAATCAAGTACTTTGCCTATGGCCCTATGCACTCATTAAATTCTATTGATACTTGATAATTCCAGGCTGAGATTTGCCTGGAAAGTGTAGCATTTACTTAATACTTTTAAATAAACCATTTCTCTCAGCACCCAAGTTTATTTAGTTGAATATATTAATAAGCAAAAGAAATAGATCAGTGGACTTAAGAGGAAAATACTTTCAGGGCACTATTGATTCACAGGAAGTCATTTGGGGGCTACAGATGATAAAGGCAGAGTTAGAAACCCCAGTGGCATAGCAGTTTTTGTCTTAAGCTTCCACTTCAGTTCATTATTTCCTCTTACACCATCATTATAATTCACAAGCAGAACTAAAGCATTCAGAGAGCTAAATTATGCTGAAGTCTGTGTGAAATCAGGACACTTCCCACTCCCGATACCAATGACGCTATAATAGAACTGCAAGTGATGGTTCGGGGAAAAGACAGATAGGAGTTAGGCCAAACTAGACTTGTGGAGAAGGCCTCTACCTCATTTCTTCCTCTAATGGCTGTTGCTTGAGGCAGTTAAGGAAAGGAATGTGTTCAGTAAATAAGAGAGGATTTATATTCTCTATCTCTTTGCTTGCATGGATGCTGATGTCTTGGCAGGAAAGTAACCAGATGGCAGTTGGTCTCCTCCTCTCTAACATTAGAGCCCTGACTGTTTTAATTTGAAATTGGGCCAGGTGATCAGGAAGCCTTATTGCCAATACTAAAAGAACTAGGGGTCTTACAGTAACTAACGAAAGCTTGGCAGAGATGGTCTTTGGACATAATTATATAAAAAAACCTATTAAATATTTTCTAAGACTGAGTACTTAAGACTAATTCAGATGAAACCCAGAGCAGTTGAATTGATAGGCCTAAATAACATGTTGCTGATCCATCTGATAGCTCAGCATACTATTTTTACTTCTTCCAGTATACATGTTTTCTCCAGTTTAAACTCTCCTAAGGTAAAAAAAAATCTATGCTAAGTATAAATGATATGTTATTATGGAATATACAGAGTGTTAGATGAAGACCAGAAGTTTTACCTGAAGGCAGATAATAGGCAATATTCAAGATACCATGGGAGTCTTGCATTCATTGTTAGCCTCTATAAAGAATAAAACAGGTTTTGTCCTATATGTTTTTAAAAGGAGGGGGGGGTGTCAGAAAATTGAAAAAAAAATATTTTTCAAATTTCTGCATGTTAACATTTCTGGATATTTTCCTTCCTATTTTCATGGCCTACCATAGTGTAGCATTATGTCTGTGGGATCCTTGGTGGTGTCTGAGTTTGCTTGTTTTCTTACAGATGTTAACCCACTAGGTAACATAATCAATGCTTAGCAAGGACCCATAGTTCAACCCTGAGTTACAAATATTCTCTTCTATCACTATTATATCTGCATGATACTATTGATTGATTGATTCCCAGACTTTATATAGCCATTCACCTCACCCATCTCACAGGAATTTACTCTGATTTCCAGAGTTGATGGCATAACCAGGTTTTGAGGAATTTCTGGAACATTAAAAGGATGTTTTTAATGCATTAAAAGCATTATGTCTGGGGGAAAGAAAGCTCCATAAAACAGGTGCCACAGCAGAGAAGACCCACTACTTTGGTTCTGCTAAATGTAGGCCCCTGGAAGATGTCATCTGCAGCATACCTTCTCTGCCAGATTTAATGGGCTGGGCTGATATAATTAGAGACCCCCAGATAACCCAGTCCCATGCTATGAAGGTTGAAACCAGCACTTTGCATTGGCCCCGGAAAAAAAAAAACTGGCCATCAATGCAGACCGCAGAGCAGAGGTTCAATATGACATGTCTTAGGAGCACATATAACTTCCTACACTGCTGCATTTTGCTGAAACTTCTAAATAATTCTTCAAGGGCAGCCACATGCAAAGTGAATTACAGTAGTACAGTATGGAGGTGACCTGGGCATGAATGAATGTGAACCAAATCTCCCCCATCCAGGATTGGGCACAATTGATGCACAGAGTTGTGCAAAAACCCTCTTAACCATGACTATTGCCCCTCCTCAAGCAAGAGTCGTGAATTGAGAAGCATCACAAATTGCACTTTGGGTCTGTCTGGGCAGTATGATTCCATCAAGCACTAAAAATGGCATAGTCCTAAAAACAGGCCCCAAAATTTCATCTCTAAGGTCCTACATGGGTCATTATTTGAAATACCTCCTTCTTTGGAATTAATTTACTTGTCTGCTCATATTTTATATTAACTATTTATACATCCTCTCCTTGTAGAATTGACATCTAACAGGGCCTTGGAAATGGGTTTTATCAATGTTGCCCCTGTTCCCTTTCCCAGTGGAGCTTTTGCTTGTTTCATTCTTTTTGAGTTTCAGGAAACGTGTAACAACTTTTGTCTTTGAGTTGGCACAGGAAAAGGAGTTTTACAATATGTAAATAGGATCTGTATCGTGTGTGAATTATTTATATTGGTTTGTTTTTTTAAAAAAAATTATTAGGTGTCTATAGCCTCAGGAATGAGTAGCATACAAGTACAGTAGGAAAGCAGATAGCTATACAGTGGGGCAAAAAAGTATTTAGTCAGCCACCAATTGCGTAAGTTCCTCCACTTAAAAAGAGGACAGAGGACCTCAACTATGAGAGACAAAATGAGAGAACAAATCCAGACAATCACAATGTCTGATTTGGAAAGATTTTTTTTGCAAATTATGGTGGAAAATAAGTATTTGGTCAATATCAAAAGTTCATCTCAATACTTTGTTATATATCCT